CTTTATTCAGTTCTCTACAAATTACCCAGTTTGACCATGTCCTCTTTTCTTGTTAATATAGAAGGCAATCATAATTACCTCTTGCTAGTGTAAACATTTATTTAAATTGTATGAAGTGTCTAGCACAGCCTATAGTATAAAGTAAGTCTTAGATAAACATGACTTTCTCACTCTCCTTCTCCTTCTATTCTGGACTTCTTAAAGACGTGATAGTCATCTATGGTACTAGGGAGTTTGTTTAGTGTGACTTTTAGGATTTTAATAAGCTTTTATGTGAAGAGGCTTTTGTAGAAAAAGAAAAACCAGAAAAAACAGTTTTTTTTGTAGAAAAAATAATAAAAAAACTATTTTTTATGTAGGGTTCATTTGCAAATAAATCAAGAAAATCCATCTTCCAAAAGTCATGGCAATATAAAGAAAAGTGTACTTCAACTATAGTTGTTTGAACTAGAATTAAATGTGCTTTATAATGATATGCTTTATAATGATATCCTTCTCTAAGAAACATATGTATACTCACACTATGAAAAACCTAAAGGAACAGATAGAAAAAAAGTAAGTTGTGAGTGGTCACAGTTATTTGACATAGATAATGCCTTCGTGGACAAAGCATTGCTTACAAAAATTTGTTTTGAAAATGACTAATAATTCTAATTCAAGATTCTTATAAGTTTTGTGGCAAGAAGATTAAATGAGAATGTACTGTGACAGAATCGCTACTGAGAAATGACTCTTTTTTTTCTGTAGGGGGCGTGGTCACAGAAGAATGAAAGATACTCTCTTTTTGCAGTAATAACGACCAGGCTTCTGATCCTTCTGTCCAGGAAGAGTTACCTTCCTGATGTAGCTAACAGTCAGAAAGAGAAGTAATTCACAGGATATGCTGGAGGGAATTTCCCACATACGTCTTCATTACTAAAGGCTTAGGCCCATGTAAATAATTAAACTGTTATTTCTCAAAGAGAAAATCAGCAGATGTACTGTGATTAAAGAGGTGCCCTATGACATTGATAGAACCCCTGAAACCAAGAAGGTGGTGAAATTTATGGTTTCCAGAACAGCAGAGGCGGGGGCTTATCAGAATGCACAGCCTCCAAGGCGGGAGAGACTCCATGAGAATACTTGCCTGGGTGTAGGACGTTGCAACAGTGGCCACACTCTCCATCCTTCCTGTATCCAGGGTTTCTTGGAATGTGATTTTGAAGTTTCTTCCATCAAGAATTGAAGTCTATTGTTCAATCTTTTGAATCTGAGCTGAATTAGGACTTCTTCTGGCCAATATAATGCAGCAGAAATTATGCTATGGTGGTTCTGAATCTAAGCTGTAAGAGATGTTGTATGTCTCTGCTTTTTCTCTTGTAAGCCTACAAAGCTATCACGTATGCAAACCTGAGATACGCTGCTGGAAGATCAGAAGCATGTGTAACTGTTCCTGTCCTATCCCCTAGTCAACAGCCAGACAATCTGAAAGAAGCAGAGCTGTTTTGCTGACTTCTAGCTGACTACAGATGCATACATAACCCAAATCAGGCCCAATTATCAAGACTCATTTAAACAACCACATTTTTAGTTCATCACAGAATTATGAACTAAAAATGTGGTTGTTTAAATTACTAAGGTTTTAGGTTGCTTGTTGCACAGCAAAACTAACGGATATACTGTATGCCTGTGGTCTTGAAACTTCGATCAGGATCTCTGTGGCTTAGCTTTGCATGAGGAGAACGGAGCTACCTGCATGCAAATGAGCCATGTTGGCCTGAAAAGAGTCATATTAACAACCATCAAAGATGAGGTAGATGCCTGGCATCTACAATTTTCCCACCCAGCCTATACTTCAGGGTTCTTGTGCCACCTAAGGAGAAACTAGAGAGAAAATCTTATGTTATTTCTGCCAAATCAGTTGATACTGGATTTTATGACCATCTTACAAGTGGGGAGCAGGGTTGAATTTAATTTTAATTAGAAAAATAATAAAACTCGGTTCTATAGCTTAATTAATATGTTGAAATTTTTAAATAATAAAATTTAAAAGATTGTCCAACACCGTATTTGAAGAAGAAAGCATAATCAGTTCTCCTTAGATCTTATATCCTGTTTCTTAACCAGCAAAGGAGAGATAACTATCATATTGCACATCTTTCTGAATAAGTATTTGACTTGTAATTTAATGTATGGTAATTTTAATGATTTCTTAGTAAAAGTATAGTCAAGTTATGACACGGCAAATAAGTGTTCACATCCAATGTAGTGATTGCTGAAACATTCTGTATTTACAAAGAACTCTGGACTGGAAGTCATATGAATTGTATATTAGTTTTGTCTCTATTTGTAACCAGTTTGATACTATGTGAGTCACTACTCATCTTTGGGTCTTTATTTCTTTATCTGCAAATTAAGAAAGATGAACAAAATGATCTTTATGTTGCTTTGAAGATCTTTCAGTCAATGTCTCTCATTCTACATTTATAATTGGATGATCTTTTAAAACATATTTAGGGGTACTATGAACTTTCTCATAGAATATCATTGAACTGATTACTCTCTCCTGTAAGTCTTTAAAGCAGTTACTGATAAGAGAGGGCAGGCAGCAAATCAGGCACTCTTCTGCCACTAATGTATTGTTACTGTTATGTTACCTATTTATATATCTGGTCTCCAGATTTTGTTTGTAGACCCTTAAGGATGAGGATAGTATCTTGTCTTTTTGACTCTCCTCATTTTAAATTATTATGAATAAACCTAAATATAATGAAAAAAGTTGATACACTTAAAAGGTGATTATACTAATAAATTGCAAAATACTCTCAAAATACTTGTCTTTTTTCAATATCTGTAACAGCATTGGACTTGTGGGGCTTTAGGTAGGTCATTTCACTTTTCTGGGATCTAATTTTGTACTCAGAAAATTGAAGATTTGAGCTACATTATCTGTAAGATCCCTTCTTAGTGTACTAGTCTTTTTAAAAATGCTATGGAAGGGCCAGGTGTGGAGGCTGATGCCTGTAATCCCAGCACTTTGGGAGGCCGTGGTGGGGAGATCAATTGAGGCCAGGAGTTTGAGATGAACCTGGCCAACACAGTGAAAACCCATTTATAACAGAATTTCTGATTTTCAGCTGGGCACATGTCCACTCTGAAAAAAGATTACATTTTTCAGCCTCCTTTGTAACAGGTATGGTCATAAGATTAAGTTATAGGAACTGGAATATAAGAGCAGTGGTGTACATAAAGTGATGGAGAGATGCCCTTCACCTTTCCTCCTTCCTGCTAGCTGGAATGTGGGTGTAAGAGCTGGGGCTCTAGCAGCCATTTAATAACCTTAGGGATGAAATTTGTGGATGGTGGTCTGATTTCAAGCAAAGCTACAGTGCTCCTACTCTAACTTTAGAGAGTTGGCTCCAGTCTACTTTTCTTTATCTGACTCTTGACTAGATTTTTTCCCCCTCTTTTCACACTTTACTCAACCAAGCCACTATGAACAGGACAGAATTAAGTACCTCCCAATTTTTTAAAAACTTCAGCTTTAAACTAAATTTTCATGGGTTCTTCTACAAAGACATATTTTAAAAATCTGAAGATGTATATAATTTTAGTGAAATGTTGAGAAGAGATAAACTTCTCAAAGAATAGTAAATTTGCAAGGTAAATATAATGTTTAAATATGTTCTATATCAGACTGAATTCTGAGAATTCAGAAAGTGATGATAGTACAAAAAACACAGGAAGCTGTTCTGAAGAAAGGCAGGCTCTAAGTCGCTAAGTGAATTGCATAAGTCATACTTCTGATAAGCTACCTCTGTGATACATATGATATTGGATTTCCTTTCAACTTTTAATTTTGTTATTAGCTAACTTACATAAAACTTCTCTAAGCATCACAAAACTTTCATCTATGAGGTTGATATTTGTAAATGTATGTCTTTTCTCTTTTTTCAGGTGGTGGGTCTATGTTGCCCAGATGAATCATTTGAATTATCTGGGTTCAAATGATTCTTCCGCCTCAGCCTTTAGGGTAGCTGTAACTTCAGGCGTACTCCACCACACCTGGCTTAAATGTATTTTCTGAATAGTTATAAAAACTACTTACCTAGGCGATATCACATTCAATTCTCACTAATTGCAAGAGTAGAAGACAGATTATAGGGTTGTTAAATAATACAATCAACTAAAATTAATGGAAATATTGAATATGGCAGGTTCCGAATATAAGACTGTTGCATTAATGAGTCCATACTGTAAAATTTTTGAAGCTTGCATGTTTGAAAAAGTCTTACACATAGATTCTTTTAAGACAATGTTTCTCAAATTATGGCAAAGGAACCACTTGCATCATAATTGTTGGGGTGTTTAAAATGCTAATCCCCGGACCTCTCAAAAGATCTAGTGAATCAGAATCTCTACCTGTGGCTTAAAATTTTTAATCCCCGTCCCAACAGAATTTCAAGTACATTTAAGTTTCAGAAGCTCTGTTCTACTGCTGCAATGAAGTTTAAAGCTGATCCAAGTTATTCCTTTCACACCTCCATGCCAGTATCACAATCATCCCTTTTTCACTCTGCCTCTGATATAATTTTGATTTCATGCCAAGGCAGGGCTCATTTGCTGGATGATCAACATTTACTTTTCAGTAGAGAGGGCTGTCTCTAGATAGTTACAGAGGACATGGATAGTCATACCTATTAGTCAACTGACAGGAAAAGGGTAAGTGTAACAAAAGTACAGTTCCGAGATTTCAAAACCATTTTTTGAACTAATCTGGGAGGAGTACTGTTGTAATATGAGGCATGACTTGGTGTTAAAGAAACGACAGGATAACTTAATAGAGGTCTCCCATCTCATTCTGTGACGGTGCTTCTGGGCTCCGGTGATGAATGTGTTCATTTTAAGCGGCTTGCTTTTGGTAAATAGCCCAGTGCCCTATCAGTTCTGCAGCCCGCGGCTAGCGGCTGTGTGTGCGCGCTAATGACGGCGGAAGGTGCGGGGGAGGGCCTGGGGAGGGGCTGCCCAGCGCGATCGCGCCCCTGGCACTTCCTAAGAGACTCAGCCCTTTCTCTGCAGCTGCTGCTTGAAGACTCCACGCTTTCCCTCCAGAGGAAAGAAGCCCTCCATCTAAATCAGCTGTCTTCTCCACGTCCCTCCTTTCTCTCTCTGCCAGACGCCACCCCTACCCGTTCTATTGTGTTGTGCCTTTTCCTTTTAGCCCCGCTTCCTACGTAAAGCCCTAACCTCCTTTGTAACGAGGGCACTTGAGCATTTCCGAGCCTCGAGTTGTAATGGAGCTGTATGGAAAGGTAAGTAGGCAAAGGGAGTTCCTTGGGGTGCTTAGCCAGAAATCTCGCTTTCACGCACTTTGGTGTGTGGGTTGCGTGAGTGTGTACGCGCGCGCGACTTCTCAATGCAATTGTGCGGATAAACCACTTTCCTTATGTGTGTACCCTTCATCGTCTTTCTCCCCCACGTTTGCCGAAAGAGACTGTAAAACCGCCCCACTCTGCCTAAGGAAACGTAGAAACTTTGCCGATTCGGGAATGGGTAGAGGGTAGGGGGGAGAGTCCCAGAGACCAGCTCTGGCTTCGTTTGCATTGGAAATTAGCACGAGGTAGTGTGCTTCGTAATCAGGAAATCACAATCTACTCCTGATAGGTGGCAGTTAGAAAGAAAGATCTCCAGCTGAGATAAGCTGAGGCTACTTTCGCCTGCCCCTGGCGAGGAAAAGGGTAGGGGAGACTGGGAGAGGTAACCCAGGAGCGTTTCGAAAGGAGAAGGGAGGCTCCGCTGCCGAGCCCGACTGGCGGATCGAGAGTGTTTAAGAGTTTGCTTGCTTGCCGGGAGTTGTGGTTCACCGCTCGCTCGTTCGTTGGGAATCCCCGCAGGGAGAGACTACAACTCCCAGGAGCGCACGCGGCTCCCCGCCAGTACGCGTGTGCGGCGCTAGGAGAGGACAGCTCCGGTGCTGATGTTGGAGCCGGTTAGCGAACCCCAAGAGTGCAGTGTGTGGAGCTTGGAGCGCGCGGCTTGTGCACGCTTGACCGGAAGCCCGGGTCAGTGCTGTCCTAGCCAGAGAGAAAGAACATTTGCCAACAATGAGACACGAAGCGCCCATGCAGGTGGGTCCATAAAGAAAGAGTGGCCTCGGGAGGAATTGAAAGAGATGCTTTTCCCCTCTCTCCGCGCACAAACTGTGTCCAAACTGAGGGAAGGTCTGGCGGCCACCCGCGGAGATGCGGCTCTGGGACAGGACCCTGGGAACGGAGTTGGGTTCCTCTAAGCTCTGTGTGGCTGTGATTGGGGCTGTCTTGATGAGGGATCGGGCTATTCACAATCTTTCTAGGCTCTGAAAGGAGGATAAGTGTCTGTCTAAAATGAAAACCCGAGCAAACAAAAGTCAGAGGAGCATGCAATCTCGTGTTGGCATTGATTTTCTCTCTTGGCATCGAGGTTTGAGATCGCGGTGAAAGCTCACGGATTTGAGGCAGATAGGTCAGATTCGGGTTGAAGACTCCCCACTGGAGTCGGCACAGAGCGATTTCTGCTTGGTTGAAGGCACATTAAATAAAGAGAAGCCAACGTTAGGCTCCTCAAAGTCCCCTTTCTTCAGTTAGGTTCCCAGTATCAGCAGAAAATAGAAAACACGACGGGGCTTGGCATATCCCGGAGCTATGCCAGCATCGCTGTCCACACAACTCGTTTACTCCGTTTCTGAGACAGCCCTCCTCTGAGCTTTCCTGTGTTACGTGCCGATTTGTTCTCCGATTACCCATTTCAGTCACATTCTTAGGTTTGCTTCCTTTGAGAAATGCGACGGACTCCGGTGCAGAAGCACCTCTGCCTAAGCATCTTGCTTAAGTTTTGTTTTTAAGTACAGATGAGTGATAATTCTCGTCTCTATGTACAGCCAGTTGATGCTAAACATCAGCTTGTGTTTAATAATCAAGTAGTGATCCCACTGCGTAACAGAAAGGCGTTTTATGAATGGGGTTGAGAGGAGAATAGAATACATCATTTGGAATGTGCTCTCTCTCCTGAGAACCCACCTCTGTTGGCAAACCCAACAGGATAAATATTTGACATTAATTCGGGCTTCAGTGTTTTCCAATTGGTTTCTTCATGAATCATGGACTTTAAACATATGTTTTGATTTACTTTTAATTTACTTTATGGGTTATGTATATTAAGAAACCCTGACTGGACTGTTAAATGAAAAACCTATAGGATTTAATTGTTTGTTGGAGGATTATATAAGGGAAGTCCTCAAATTACTTATGAGTTATTGAAAATATGATTTGTTCCAGGGAACAGTGGCCCCATTGTGTGTCATCTAATACCTCTATATGTGACTTAGCTTTCCATTATTTAGGCCTGACGTGAAAAGAATCTGAACAGACAATAAAGGTACAGGCTGTTGCAATAAGATATATTGGTTTACGATAATTTTCTATTACTGGAGATACTTCGAGGAGCCAACTGGCTAAATTAATAATATTTTATTATAAGTAAACATTAACAGTAGACTTTAAAAGTAGATCATTACACTTCACCAGGTATATGTATAGGAAAACATGTACATCTTGAATTTACACAATAAAAAAGATTTCCAAGAATTTTTGAAAAATAGATTGTTAATATTTAAAGTCAACTCTATATATGCACCAATATTTTTCAATCAAATTACTAAAAATTTAACCACACTGTATATTAATTTTGCTTTCCTACAGGAGTTGCTTAGAATGTTCAGAAGGGTCATTAAAATATTACAGAACTATATTAATGTTTGAGAAATAGTTAAAATTATTTTTTGTCTTCGCCAACTATGTAGTAGGCACTGTGATTTTCTATTTTAGTAAAAACTTTAATGAAGAACTAAAATAAACATTAGGTAAAATGAAATTAATTTGCCTGTGGATGGAGTTATTGTCATATTCATAATGTATTTTTAGTAACTGGACTAAGTTTTCGAAATTTAAAATTTCCAAATGCTGTCATGAGTAATGTACATTTTAGGAAATCAAAGACTTTTAAAAAGCATATTTAATTAAAGCACATACTTTAATTCAACTTAATAAATTGTTGTTATGGTGACTCCATCTCCATTATTATCAGTTTCCAAAACTATATAATAATAGGATAAAAACTATAATTTTACTCCAAATATTTTAAAGTAACAAGTAATGTTATAGCACCAATATTTCTGAATTGTAATCACATTTCACCTGACTTTGATATATGACAATGCAGCAAGATAAATAGTTGACTTTTTTTCATTTAAAGACTGAACTACATCATCATTTTAAATATATGTCCCAAATATTTTTTTACTTAGGTCTCAAGAAGGTGACTCACAAGCAAAACCTCATTTTATGGTTTCATTATTCTAAGAGATTTCTTCTCTGCTTTAAAAAATATTTAGTTCATTTGTTCATGTGAAACAAAATGAGCTTTTTAATATATTTGCTTATTTCCCAATTTACTTCTTATATTTTTTTAAATCAAAGAAGCCTTTTGAAAAACATGTAAGGTCTTTTAAAAAGCATTTGATATATCTATAAAATAACTTGGTGTTCTGTTCAAGGTCGTTATGTTTGACATGTGCATATTTTATCTAAAATATTTCTTTCTGAATTGATGGAAAATAAGGGATAATTGTTTTTTACAGTAATTACTAAAATAATATACAATGATAGTCTCTGACGTCTTTATTTCCTTTCTAACTAAATAACCAGGAATAGCATTTGGTGAGTGTCCCAAGCGATAGGCTTAGAATTCTAATGCAGGAGATGGTCATTTGTGTCTTTCATTCAGTGTATACATAAACCCTGAAGGCCAAATGAAATGAGAAACAGCAGTTCTCATGACTTGAGGACAAGACTCTGGTTAACAAATTGTCATTTGATTCAGGAGCCACATTGAACAAATTCTAGTTTATCTAGTGCCTTGCCTGTGCCAAGCCCTGTGACTTAGATTCAGGTCTCATTATATTTGTGTGTATGTATAAAATATTTTTTTTTGTTTTATGTATAACAATCATATGTGTGTATGTATATATTTTACAAAAATATTTACAAATATATTTAAAAATCCTAGTGGCCACCATTACCCTAATTACAGGCACAGTCACTTGAACTTATTAAGACAAAATAACTTTCCTGCTAGGATAGAGTAAAATTTCTGCCAGATTTCTCTGTCTAGAAAACCCATGTTCTTTCCTGTATTACTTTTGATTCCTCAAGAAGACATAAATGGGTGGTGTAAATAATGAGACAACTATTAATATAATTTGAGTTGTTCATTTGGTTCAGAAGAAAGAAAAAATGGCCCTATCTTCTTATAAAATAAACTTGCATAAACTAAACAGAATATTTGAAAAGGGGCAATGTTTTAAAAATAGCTTGCTTCTATCTACTATAATTTCTGGTAGGTTCACATACTCTCTTACAGGACCAAAGTGGAATTCAGTGTCCCTACTAAATTCTTACTTTTCCATTTTGTTATCCACAAGTTTTCTGGATCACTTCATAAATGCACAGTCTTCTGACTATTGACAAAAATTCAAAGAAAAATATCTACCCAAAGCATGGAAAAGAGTGCCCAAAAAATTGTTTAAGATGAGGAGGACTGAAGAAGCACTATTGATGTAGACTGGAGATGAAGTGGAAGTAAAAACCACTAGTTATATATTAAAGTTAGCCATGCTGTACACAAAACAAAATTGCAAAGAATTAAAGTCTAAATATCACTGTTTTATTTGGCTATGGGAAGTACACGGCATTCTTGCATTTCATTATTGTTGAACTCAACCATATCCATCCTCAGTGATCATCCCTCTGTCTTTCTGAGAAATGGAAATGTAGTCCTCATCCTTTACAGAAACAGAAAATCCCTAATAGACTTTAGAGAAATGAGAAATTCTTCCTTACTGCATTTGGGCTAATTGCTCAAATATCCATTTTTCTTCTGTAAAGGGAAGTGGAGGATAGCAAGGGAACTTAACCTACAGCAAAAATTCATTTGTGTTGTATAAGAATGGTTTTCCATTGAAACTGCAAAATTATCATAATTTTCTGCCACTATTCTAAGCTTGTATTGGAATTGGCAATCCTTTCTTCACCATCATATTCCAGGAAGGAAATATATGTCTATGCTGAGGAATAGGTTTTCTTGAAACTGCTCTTGCCCACTCAATTCACTAAGTACAAGCAGCTGGGCCACCTCAAAAAAATGTTCTTATATAGATTAAAGGTTTTCCAACCATTTTTCCCTTTTTTTTATTAATGTGGTTCAGAGGTTCTGTGGG